CAGTATGTCTTTCAGCATTATACACACAGACATTCAATTTTTATACACAGGTTCACACTGGTTTTCAGCTAAGAGTGCCAGAAACTGAATAGGCTTTTGACTGCAACATTTAGACTACAGTTAAACAGGATCTGGTATTCTTTATTATGTGCAAAACTAATTTCTGTCAAACATAATTAGTGTGAGAAGGATTTATTCAGCTGTTCAGTCTGCTTTTGTTACTAGAGTAATGTCAAGCATCTCCATCTCATCTGTGGTTAAAATCTGACTTAAAACCAGATCAAGTTTAAGGGGATAGTTAAACCAAATATTAGAATTCTCTCATCATTCACATACCTCTTATTCTCTTGGTGTTTCTTACATTTACTGAGCAAAAAGATAACATTTTGTAGAACATTATTTTACCTGGGTTACAATAAAAAATCAGTAGTCCTCGAATTCCAAAGTATTAATTCCCTATTATGTATGCCAGGGTCCACTGGTTTTCAGCATTCTTCAAAATATCTTCTTTTTTTTCAACTGAAACAAAGAAACATGAATATTTGGAAGCACTTAAGGGTGAGAATATTTTAATTTATAAATGAACCATTACTGTGCACTGCATTCACACACAGAATCGAACTGCTAATCACCAAAAACCTCGCATGTTAGTTTTGTTCATGGCTTGTCTTGGGGAGAAATAAAATAAAAGGAAGTAGCTAAATGTGTGTCATTCTAATTGTGTAATCGGTTTTTTGTGCTTGGTTACAAGCTGGTTGTTGGAGAAGCAACACTGCAGGACTGCAACTCAAATGACACTTGCAAAATTAAACTGGAGGAAAAATATAGGTCACAGTGATCATTAACTGTTTGTCTGCACACAAGAGATGATCAAGTTGATTTTGGGCTGACTTTTGGATGTCTTTTAGGTCATGACGAGCAAGTGTCCTCAAGAACAATTAAACTTTTTTTTTTTATGAAGCAAAGTTTTGTATTTTTTTATACAAGTAGCCTACTATGGTTAAGATAGCAAGTGTAGCACAACCATATTGCATTTGTGGTTACCGTGGTTTAACAAAACTATTTTTTTGGATTTTTGGTGGAATCATATTTAATTTTTGTGAGGTGTCAATTTATGATCTCCAACCACCTGCTTGTGCACTTCAACACCATAGGCTACTTTTGCCTGACAGAATTTACTCTAATTTACTCTAATAGAATTTAATCTACTTTTTTCAGCGTTTACTTTCAGGTTTTGCCACGTAGTTATCCTGTCCCGACCACTTGGTCTGATGATCTTCAATACTGCTGATGTCATTACGCAGCTGACGTAACTTGACGTACGCCGCCTCCCTTGTTCCTTGTATATCCCTCCGCCCTCCGACGCAGTTGTCAAAAAACCCTGATCTAGTTTGTAAACACTACCGACGGCAGGTTTTCTTGGAGATTTTGAAGATCTCCCAAACCTTGACAATGAAGTTTATGTACAAAGAAGAGCATCCCTTCGAGAAGCGACGGTCCGAGGGGGAAAAAATCAGAAAGAAGTACCCGGACAGAGTGCCTGTAAGTCAGACAAATGAGTTGTTTTTGTTGGGCCCTGCGCTCACAGATAATATAGACCTAACGTTACCGACGAATTACACCGTGACAACGCTGATTTATAATGTTAAATCTTATGAAAATGGCGTATTCGATTAAAAAACGTGATGTAATCCCTATATTTGTTTAATAGATTGTTGTTTTGAAGCTGTCCTTCATGGAACAACTAGCGTTAGCGTCAATTAACGTTAGCGTTTGGAAATAGTGGCATCGTTTAAACTACTGTGAATAGAATATATATATATATATATATATATATATATATATATATATATATATACACACACACACACGTTTAATGATACTAACGTCACATATTAATGTGTTAAACGTACAAAAACATGAACTGCTTTGCATAACATTTAATTATTGAAATGAGCTGTGCATGTTTTGACTGGGCTGAAAACAAAATGAGTAACGTTATTCATTAAAAATACAGGGTTTTCTGACACGATACCATGTGGCCTCACACCAGTTTATTTTTCAGTTGCATTATGTGTCGTCAGTACAAATATCAGCAGCAAATCTAGGGGAATACCCATTACTCATGTTATTATAGCACTGAAAGTTGCTGTTGTTTTCACTTGACTGGCACATTGTTTTCAGCACTGATTTGTTTTCTGCAGGTTATTGTTGAAAAAGCTCCCAAAGCCAGAATAGGAGATCTGGACAAAAAGAAATACCTCGTCCCGTCTGACCTCACAGGTTAGTTTGTTAAAAAACTGCATAAACTTTTGTATAATTTTTAAGGGTATTAAAATATGAAAATATGTTTTGACACTTTTTTTCATTATTTCTGAAGTTGGGCAGTTCTACTTCCTTATTCGAAAAAGGATCCACTTGAGGGCTGAAGATGCCCTGTTCTTCTTTGTCAACAATGTCATTCCTCCCACATCAGCCACTATGGGACTGCTCTACCAGGTACACACCTCGTACCCTTTGTGATAACGAACTTGATTATTTGTTTGTTACAGCTTACCCCTTTGCTACACGTATGCTTTCATAAGATAATTAAGCATTCCTCTTTGTTTCTCTTTTAGGAGCATCACGAAGAAGACTTTTTCCTTTACATTGCCTACAGTGATGAAAGCGTGTATGGGGATGTTTTGAAAGACGTGTAACCAATTTGCTCCACATTACCAGTCTTTAAAATAAAATGATCAATACGTTAGGCTACTTGAGGTGTACATGTTGAATGCACTTTCATATCCCCCTCCTAGTCTGTTTATGAAATCTTGTTTGTACTCCATGCTGCCTGCATTTTGTTCTTTTCGGTTTAAGAATTTCCCCCTTCAGTCTTGCTTTACTAAGACGGACCTATAAAAATCTTAGCTTTGGTCCGTTTCAGTAAATTTTAGTGGGTTTCATATCCATAAAGGCTCTTTCAATGTTTTACACTTCTCCTTTCACTTTTCCTCATTTTTACTCCGCACCGCCATGCATCATGCAGTTGTGCTACTACAGTCTAGTTTAGTTTTTTTTTAGCCACCCTATTTGCACAGACCAAAATCATTTATAATACTGGACTATCATACCATGTAAAGTGTGAATGTGTGTTTGTGTACTGTTGCCAATTATTATTTTAAAACAGGTTGGGATTGCTGTTTATTTGAATAAACTGTTTAAAAGGTTTCATTTCAGTTGATGTAGGAGATCGAATGTTTATTTGATTTTTATTATTATTATTAAGGTTCATGAGTTGATTGGCTTTTTTGCACATTTGTATTATGGATTGGTGTGTTTATTTTTTTCGTTTTTTTCCCTAAAAGCTTTAATTGTAATGGCCACAAATCTTAAGCTTGTCACCATTATAAACCTGATGTGAAACAATATTTGCCTATGTGTGTCTTTGATGGTCTTAATTTTTTTCATTTTTAATATCGAGAGTATCTGCAGTGTGTCTTTTTTGTTGTTGTTTAAGAGATAAAAGCTTTTATATCAAATTAAGCATATGAAATTCATTATGTGTAGTACATCAAATGTACCTGTAGGATAAAACATTTTCCTTCGGCTTAGTCCCTTTATTTATCAGGGGTCACCACTGCGCAATGATCTGCCAACTTATCCAGCATATCTTTTCCGCAGCGCAAGCCCTTCCCAGTATTGGGAAACACCCATAAACATTCACACACATACACTGCGGGCAATTTAGCTTAATGAATTTACCTATTGCGCATGGACTGTGGGGGAAACCAGAGCACCTGAAGGAAAGCCATGACAACACAGGGAGAACATGCTGCAAACTCCGCACAGAAATGCCAACGGATTCGGGACTCAAACCAGCCATCTTATTGCTGTGAGTGACAGTGCCAACCACTGAGCCACTGTGCGGCCTCAAGGTAAAACATACAAATGCAAATTGAATTTAGCTTAGATTTTCAAGCATAATTTTAACATTTTGCCATAATGATTCTGATGTATTAATTCCTGAGGAGAAGCAAAGGAGTAAAGCATTTTGTTTTGATGTATATGCATATACAGGGGTGGATTTAACCAATAAAATGCAGAGATTGCATTACTTAAAAATGTTGAAAAGAAGAATGAGTGATATAAGAAAATACAGCAATATAAAATAAAATTTTATAAAAGTAGAAAGGTTGCATTTTAGGACTTAGGCCCTATGGCTGAAATTGCTTAGGGCCCCAAAATCACCAAATCTGCCCCTGTGCATATTTTGTGCAACACTAATAATGACATAAAAATTAAAATAATAATAATGATATTATATCAAAATGTTTACAGATATTGTTGATGCTTTATGAACACAGCCAAGTTAAACAGCTGTGGTTGTAAAAAACATTTTACCGATTATAAGCATGATATGCCTAATTCAGGGATGGCTAAAGCTGGCCCACAGTAACCTTTCATTTGACCTGCCATCCATCTGAGAAGAGAGGAAGAATGATGGGGATGGTTTAGAGGTTGTCATTTTAAATCTAATGTAACCTTTTGTTTGTTTGTTTCATTGTTAAAAGCTAACAGAAATTACATGCTTCAATTAAATGGTGTGAATTAATCGGATTTTGTTTAAAATGTGCATACTGTCATCCGCCAAATCAGGGCAAAGGTTTATTCTCCTTGACTAGTATTCATCATTGAACGCCACTGTGTTCAAAATGTGATTTTTATAATTGCAATAAGTTATCATCTTAAATGTTATACTGGATTAGTTAATACGATTCAAAGTAATGCATTTCTATTCACTTATATAATATAATAAAATAAAATAGGAAATTATAGCTGCTTTAATGTCATATAGTTTGGTATATTTACCTTCGGCCCACGGTTCTCAATGATATTTGGCTTTTGGCCCTTTACATGAAAAAGTTTGGGCCCTGATCTAATCACTGAACTGAAGAGAAAAACACGGTTTGTACCCCTTTTACTTGCCGTCATCAAGACACGCCCAGCGGAAGTGCGCCAAACTGGGTTTCCTGTCCTCCTTATTTTGGTTAAATACTGATATACTTGTTTATTTTTTCTTTACGGAAAGCCTTCAGACAAGCTCAGCATACTTTTAATCTCAGAAACGGACAAAAGTGCGTTATATGAAGATTCCAAGAGTTTCATTGCAAGAGTTTTTTTTTTTATTCAGTGCGCTGATTTTGCAAGCTAGCTGACTAAGCTGTTACTTGAGCCGTTAGCCTGATGGTCAAGCCTGCTAGCCTTATAGTCATGTGTTAATCGATTTTACTGTAAAAAGAAAATACTGAACTCACTTTCGCCTGTAAAAGTTTGTCTATTTTTTATCAATTATTTTCTTGAACATCTTGGCACAATCGATTATCGAAACATTAAGGTTACTGCAAGCATAGCCAGCTAGCTTGTTAAGTCGTTACAGAGCTAATAGGGAGTTTGCTGCATTTTATTGCTTCTCATTACCACATACCCTTTCTTTTAATTCACATTTTGCTCTAACTCGTAGTCTTTTGTTTTTAGAATTGATATGGTAAGTTGGTTTATTAAACAACGTCAGCAAGGCTTGTCAACTTTTTGACAGATGCCTTTAGTTTGTGTTTGTGACTTGTCAGCCTGAAACACTGTGAAATAACAAACTTAAATTGTGCTGTTCAGCAATAGTAATAATGTTAATAGGTCAGTTATGCGTTTAACACCTGTCATTTAGCAAGGTAAAATAACAAAATAATGAATTGTAGCTGGGGTAAGGGCACTAAAGTCCAAAATTATTTTTTTGTGTTGAAAATATAGATGTTAATGCTTAACTGTAGGTTTTAAAATATGGAGTTTGTAATTTGTATAGACTATAGTATGATTTTCTTTTTTTTTTTACTCCTGCCATCTCTACTTCAGCTGGCACCACCAATCCCTACCATCATGCCGGCTCTTCTGGAGAGGCCCAAACTGTCTAATGCCATGGCACGTGCCTTACACAAGCACATCATGAGAGAGAGGGAGCGCAAGAGGCAAGGTGAGTCCTGGAGTCTGTTGTACAGGGTGTCCGCGGGGTCTTAAAATGTTTTAAAATTCAAAAAACTAATTTTAGGCTTTAAAACGTCTTAAATCCACTGAAATTTTTACTTGTATGTCTTAAATCATTTTAACAGGTTTTAATTTTCCATACAGTCACCAGCAATCCATCTCAAAAAACCTTTAACACTCTATTTATAAGACTAAATACCAATAGGTTGTGTTCACTTGATGTCATTGATGACGTGTGAAATTCAGATGGAGGGCTGGAAGTGATTCTTCTATATAGGAATCGCTATCAGAACATACAAATGTTTCTGTTTTATGTTGTTTATCATTGTTAAATTCGCTAAAATAAGAAATGCCGAACAGCCCTTCTTGACTTCCAAATATTTTAGCTCATGAAAAGGAAAAAGTTCAAGAAACTGGCTGATAAATGGAAGAAAAGACAGCATGTAATAATCATCCATGTGTACAAACTTTTCTTGAATGCAGTAATTCATTTGACAGCACCAATAAAGATTACTTACAGGTCTAGCTATGTGTATAAATATGTTAATGTGTTTTATTTAAATCAGATACAGACACCAATACACTTATACAAAATCCAGGAGAACATAAATAACGTAATTTGCCATGTAATCGATGTAATGAAATCTCCTTCATGTTTTGCAGTAATCAAAAGTCATTACTGGCATTTTGGTGGAATAAACAACTGTAACATGAACATTGAGATGCGCAGCAGCGGTTATTGTTTGTTGTTGTTAAGTTCATCGACTGAACAAAAAAAGAAATGCAACCCTTGCAACTGAACTAGACGGTTATTATTGTGAAGCACTTTTCCCCCTTTACAAAAATAAATGAATAATAATGTAGACAATGTGCCCACACTTTTGCATGCTTTCATCTGTTATTTCTTTATGTCTGGAAGATATCCGCATGAGGAAAAACTGTAGTAATTTATAATATGTTTTTGAACCACATATTGAAGTGTATAATGTGTATAACTCTTTTTTTAATGACTTCTACAGAATGCAGCAGCATAAGCTGTAATACTGTTAGTGTTAGCTGTGGTGTATTGTAATTATAGCGTAGAAAATTGAATCCTTTTGAATAATTTATTACTACAGTCGTGTTGTACCACAGAAACAATATTACTACAATAGTTTAATTCAAGTAATTGTCTATAGTATGCATCCAACACTATAGTACTTTACTACAGTATTTTTAATGTAACATAATTGTTATACACTATGTACCGCATCGATGACTGGCAAATGAATCAGTTCAGTGAAAACTGCCCTCTTCATGATACAAGGATCATGCCTAACATATGTGGTTATTTTTGTATTTATATCTCCTTTGAAATATAGTATGCATCGCAAAAATACAAACTTTGTCTTCCAATCGTTTTTTTATTTCCTGCCCTCTATCTGATTTACGCGTGTCACCAGAACTACATGATTGAAAACAGCCTATATGATTTAAATATCTTCCTCGCAATAAGATTTGTACATTCTCAATGTGTTTATAGACCACATGTGGTGAGGACACATTCGTGACCAGACTGTTGTACATTTAGTTTATTACAGTTTTTTAGATAAGAAAAGTTATTTTTAAAAAGTGTATGTACACAACTAGGTAAAAATCTTAAAGGGTTTAGATGAGTCTGAACTAATAAGTCTGAAATTTCATCCGAATGGTCTTAAAAGGTCTTAATTTTGACTTGGTGAAACCTGTAGAAGCCCAGGTTGTATGTATACTTTTTTTTTTCTACAAATGTTAATATTAATCTTATACATGTACAGAGATAATCATTTGCATATGTTGCTAGTTCTACATTTCAAAGATTTTTTTTGCTCATAATTGTCTATTGTGTATCTCAGAGGAGGAAGAGGTTGACAAAATGATGGAACAGAAGTTAAAAGAAGAGGAGGAGAGGAAAAGGAAGAAGGAGATGGAGGAGAGGATGTCCTTAGAGGAGACTAAAGAGCAAGTAAGTCTGTATGATTGGCTCATTTAAACATTGGGAGTTATTTGCAGATATTGTTGCAGGATTATTGTTCAGGAGTCCTCAGCAAGCCTTAATTTCTTTTGTTCTGTCTTTAGATTATGAAGATGGGAGTGAAGCTGCAGGGCCTTCAAGAGGAGAAGCACCAGCTTTTCTTACAACTGAAAAAAGTTCTACATGAAGAGGAGAAAAGACGTCGGAAAGAACAGAGGTAAATATAAAAAAACACACACACACTATATACAGCTGAAGGCAAAATTATTAGCCCACTTGTGAAATTGGAATTGCTTTTTAAATATTTTCCAAGAGCTGTTTAATTTTCTCAAACACATTTTAAATCATAATAGTTTAATAACCAATTTAATGTTTTTTGCCATGATTACAGTAAATATATTTTCACTAGTTATTTCGCTAAATACTTGTATTAATTCTAAAGTGCAATTTAAAGGCCTAACTAGGTTAATTAGGTTAATTAGGCAATTTGGCTTAAGTAGACAAGTCATTGGTAAACAGTGGTTTGTTCTGTAGCCAATAAAAACAAAATTTTAATGGCCTAATAGTATTGACCTTTTATTGAGAATATTGACCCGTTTGAATGTTTTAGTTTAATCCCAGTCAAACAAAAAAAAAACTAAGACTTTCTCCAGAAGAAAAATATAATAGGAATTACTTTGAAAAATGTTTTTACTCTGTTCAACATCACTTGGGAGATACTTGTATAAGAATAAAGATTTCACAGGAGGGCAATTGAGAAAAAAAATGTATATACATTTTCAGAGGAGAGCAAAGGAGAAAAAATAAGAGAACACTGAAATTTTTTTTAATTTATTTATTGTATAGTTTTGCGTTTGAGTAAAATATTTAATTTTTGTTATATTTTGTGAACTGCTAGTGCTTTGGTTTGTATAAACAAAAAAGAAAGATGCCATATTTTCATACTACACATGTACTTTCAGACTACACAGTACCAGTGTTTTAACTTCAAGATAGATATGAAATCAGTACTTGGTGGAATAATCCATATTTACAATCACAAGAATTTAAGAATTTTAGTTTTAAAACGGCGTATGAGAATGAAAACGATCTGCATCTACACTGGCATTTCACCTAGCGTTTCTGAAATGATCCCCATCCACAGTTCACCTCTGAAAACATGCATCACATAACCACGCGCACTCTGCCATGCTCTGCAGCTTTTCAGTTTTTCTATTTTAAACACAACAAACAAAACCTGTTGCACACATACATTTAGGTTGTATAAAAATATATAAATAATATTAAAATAAACTATTAATAAATAATAATATTAAGTAAAAATTTTACTCTTATATAAAAGAAAAGAAAAGAAAAAGAAATTAATAAAAAAATAACATGTTGGCGCAGCGGTGTAGTGGTTAGTGCGTCGACACATGCACTCTGGTGCTCGCGGCGACCCGGGTTCGATTCCGCCTTGCGGTCCTATGCCGATCCTTCCTCTCTCTCTCTGCTCCCTATGCTGTCTTGTCAATTCTCACTACTGGCCTATCAAAAAAATCAAGGTGAAAACCCTGAAAAAATTATTATATAAAAATAAATAAATAACATGCAAAGGTTCTAATCTTCTAAAATAATTCAAGTGTCCATCTTTCTTGTGATCTAAAACAGGTTAAACATTGGTTATTCTGACCAACTGTACTTTTCTGAAATTAAAAATGCTCTAAATCACTTTTTTAAACTGCAAGACATGTTACTTTTAAATGAATCAACCAAATAATATACAATTCTTTTGTTTGTTTACAGTGACATGACAACCCTGACTTCAGCCACATACCAGGCAAACATGCCTATCCACCCTAGCCAGCACATTCTTAGCATGCAAGGTGACCTTTATTTATCATCTTTAGTGTCATTTAGACTATTTGCTTTGTTTTATTTATTTTAAAATGCCATGACTTGATTTTGCTCCATTCTTGTTTCCCATCAGCGGGTCAGGTGAGTCATGGCCGTCCAGCTGTTCTGCTTGGGGAACGCAGTAAACAGCTCTTTCAGTCTCCGGTCATTCCTGTGAGTCAATGTAGCTTAAACTATTTGTACCTGCAATGTTCAAACCTATATACATTTAGTATCGAGAGTCACCTGGTTCAGTTTAATCTCACAGTTGTTTTATGTTATTGTCAATCTGTGTGCTCATCTCCTACTGCTGCCCAAGGCACGTCATTTCCAGTCTCAGCCAGGATTTAGTGCAGGTGGATCAGAGCACGGCCAATATTCGGGAGCGCAGCCAGGTCACAGCCCGTATGGAGTCACCCAGACGCAGCATACATCACCTTTTGCCTCCAGTCAGCCTGTGTCAGCCAACTATGCCAGTAGTTCACAACTAAGAGGTGCCTTGCTTGTATTATTTATGTTTTTGTTGTTGTTTTATGAGAACATGGTATGAATTTGGGATGTTATGTCTTTCTGTTTTAAGGTGCATCAGCATTCCAGACCATGCAGTACCTGCCCCATCAGCAGCAAGGCTATGCAGTTCACAGTCACTTCACCTCTCAGCCAGGTGTGTGTATAGCAGAGGCTGGCAACCTTTTAGGCATCAAGTGGCTATCACTTTCTTACCTGGGTGTGGAATTTTGCATACCATTGTGAGGACCTTCTTTTATGTCTAGGGGTTTTGTTCGGAGGTGTTACAAAGAAGACTAAAATTGTTGGTAAATAACATTGAATTATAACAAAAAAAAGGTAAACATGGAGAACACACTTCAATCTTCAGCCTCAGAGTGAAGAGTCAGCACAATGTTTTAGAAAAATAAACAGCAGAATTTATTTAAAGGGGTGGTACGATGTCATACTTTAAACTTTAGTTGATGTGTGAACACAAACAACATCTCTGAATGAAATACACTGAAAGTTCAATGCAAAGGGGAGACGTTGGCTTTTACAGAGTTAGCTTAGCAAAGCCTACAGCGAACAAAGTTTGGGGACTACAAAAAATAAATCCAGGCTAGTGAGTTCACAAACACTTCAGGTTACTCACCACACGCATGCACTCTGCGCAGTGAAGGCACGTGGCCAAAGGCATTGTAATGTTATAGCAGAGAAAGCTAAAATGCCGTCCAAACACTGCTTTTCCACACAGCTTGTTCTGTTTCTGTATTTGGACTACTAAAGGACATGACACAAAAAGAAAAGTGCTTACAGTCTATTTTAATTATGTTCCAGAGAATTATAAAAATATATAGCTAGCATTTGTGGGTTGCTTTGAATTGTGAGCCACAACCTGTAAGTGTTTTTATTTGTTAAAATTTATCAATTATATGCATTGTTTCTAGCGTTAAGGGTATGTTGCAGCAATGACGTAAACAAGGATGTAACAACAGGAAATGCTGTTTGGCATTATTAACAATTTAGCTACAAATTCATATTTTTCCATCAAACCGCTGTAAACACCCACAATCTTCAGCAGCGCTGCAGTGTCTTTCTATGCGGTGCTTTCCCTGCGTTCTAAATCTCAAATAACAAACTCACAAAAGATATGAGAACATTGCATATTACTTACACATGCTTATTCTGAATATATGTCAAAGACACTTGTCAGATCTTACTTTAGAGAGCAGGCGTGAGGTTCAGCTGTGTCCTCTGTCATTTTGTGACTGATTCAGGCACAAACTGATGGACAGTATTTACACAGCTGAGGCAAAGTGCGTGCTTGTAGAGGTGTGACGCTTTTCCTGTTGACGTGGAGCCGATACACGAATCGCAGCACATTATGTTAGCTGACCAATCAGAGCCTCTTGAGGGCGGCCCTTTTGAAGGAGCTAGGAAATATGACAGTTGTTTTCATTTTAGCTGAGTAGCTGTATATAATCAAATTAAGATATATGAAAAAGTAACATGATTTTCTACAAATGAAGCATGAGCACACATTGCTTTGCATTTTTATAAACGCATCCAAGCTTTAAAAATACACTCTGGACCACCTCTTTAATAGAAATATTGGAACTTTAACACAAACTGAATGCCAAACTGAGTGAGTATAGCCTAAAACAACAAACAAAAAGCAGCTCCAAAATATCCATCATTTACAGCTTTTAAATCCTTTAACAAACCGCAATCAATGTTTCTATTGTTTATGTGGCAGTAATTCTGCAAATGGTGGCATGTGTGCCACAGGTTTATAAACCCTGCGCTACAGAATTCTTTTGAAATCAAATGTTTATTTAAATATTAGTTTGAAGTAAAATGATATTCAATGTTGCAGTTACAGCTTTAGGTACGTTACCTACACTAATGAAATGAAGCATATGCAGATCACTTTAGAAATGAAAAATATGTTGTAAGAAGAAAATAAAATTCTACACAGTTAAATTTTTTCACATTAATTTCAACATTTTAGCAGCAAGATTTAAATCATAATCTACAATCTTTATTTAGTTAGCAAGCTTATTGAAAGCAGTAAAACAAAAACTGGACCTACCCCACAATTTAAAACATCTAAGGTCGCTTTGGTTTGTTTTATATTTTTTTTAAGTGTTAACCAGACCCTCCAGGATTTCGTGATTCCAAAATCTCTGCAAACCTAAAATCAAGCAAATGCCAAAGTTTTGAGAGTTTGAGATTTTGAAGTTTGAGAATTCCAGCCATGCCAGAGCGTCATCTGCTTAGTCATTCAAAACAAACTAGGTCACGTGAGTTATATCACTCACTAAACTTTTACTTATTATGTATATATGCATCCTGTTGTCATAGGAGTAGCCCTCTCTATCTCTCTCTCTCTCTCTCTCTCACACACACACACACACAATGTTAAATGGGTGTAGGTGGGGAACTCAGTCAGTCTGTATTTTTAGGGGGTAATATTTCCTCTGTCAGTTTTTTTGGCAGATAGCTACACAAACTCTTTTGTTTTCCATCTTTTTCTAGGCTACATCCCTAGCGCTGGGATTCCCCTTCAGAAACAGCTGGAACATGCTAACCAGCAGTCCGGCTTCACAGACTCTGTAAGTGGAGATGGTCAGGAAGTGCATTTCTTTCAAACTACGTCAACTCAGTGGAGGGATTCAGCTGTGTTTGTGTAATTAAATTAAAGCATGATTCCCATTGATGTTTTCAGAGTCCCCTGAGGCCCATGCACCCACAGGCTCTTCATGTCAGCGCTGCGAGTTTGCTGTCCACTCCTCCTATTGCTGTGCAGATTCCTCCTGGCAAGGTCAGAGCCACAACCACCGCATGAAATCTGTATTGCCACAGTCTTGATTTTGCAGCATTGCAGATATTAGGCTTTGCTGTACTATAATTGTTTTAACATAAAGATGATTAAAATGGATGCTTTGTATTGCTTTTGTAGCCTGTTCAACATTTAAAAAAACCTTTGCTCTGTTCTTTTTTACAGTCTGGCATATCTTATACACATTCGCAAAGGCCAGCGTCTCCAGGTGCATTTTCCCATGGAACGCCCTCACAGCAAGCACATGCAGTGAGTTTCTTTATACTATATCTTGTATTTATGTATATTTATACACTACTGTTTATAGAATAAGTGAGGTATTTTAATTCAGCAAGGTCGCAGCAAATGGTTAAAAAAATATTTTATTACTATTTTAAAAAAAGGTTCCATTTTAAAACTTAAATGTAATGAATAAAACTGTTCCTATTCTGTTTAAACATAATTTTAAGTATGCATTACTCCAGTTGTTGTTGTTTTTTATGTTTCGATATAAATATACCTCTCTTCTATTGACTTTTTTTTTTTTTTTACTTTGCCCATTGTCTCTACACCTTGAAAATCTTACCAACCTCACAAGTTTGAATGATAGTATGTATGATATCTGACTGAGAAAGTCTAAATGTATAGTTTTTTTTAATGAACCAATAATTGCTGGAAGAATTTAGTATTCCAGTGATGTACAGTGCTGTGCAAAAGTTTTAGGCCACTAGTATTTTCACAAAAAAAGGTTTAAAATCTACCTGAAAAACTATGGGCAAATGTTTTAAATGCAAAGTTTTGTCATACTTTAGTAATTAAGTTAATTGATAAAATGTACTTATGCATTATTTTTTGAAAGCATCCTCATTTTACAGTATTTTCACACACATGTACTGTTTTTGAAAATCTTAGAGCAACTTAGAGATCTTGCCAAAGTTCTTCTGAACTCAGTTTCTCTTAGTTTGTTCTGTTTCTCTGGAAGCCATTTAAGACAGACTGGATAATGATCAGATCAGATCTCTGTGTGGAGCACTGACTCTTAGCAGACTCCTTGTGTAGTCAATATTCTCCATGTGTAAATACAATTCATGAAAACAATAATATTTGGAAATGGAAATTGATTTTTCAAACTGACAAAAATATAGAAACAACTGACTTCTAGTATTTAAAAGAAAAAAAAAAAAAAGTTTAACGTCAGTTATTTCTATATTTTTGTCAGTTTGAAAAATCTATTTCCATTTCCAAGTGGAAATAACGCATATACTTGAGACAACCACATTTTAAAGGTGGACGCATTAATATATTTTAGTAAATTAACCAAATCAACATTTGGTATAACAAAACTTTGCATCTAAAACACTTGATACGCTTGCCCATAGTTTTTCAGGTAGCTTTATATTTCAAACTGACATGCGACAGAAAAATTAAGAAATAACCAACTTTAAACCTTTTTTTTATTTGGTGAAAATACTAGTGGCCTAACACTTTTGCACAGCACTGTGTGTATGTATAAAGAAAGTGCAGTGCTTCCCACACACAAACTTTACTTGAGTGGCTGCCCAGGTATAACTAGTGACACATTTTTTTTTTACTATTATTATGATCTTTTTACACTTTTTTTTTTTTTTTGTATCCGCGCAACATAACCAAACATCTGCAATCAATCAAGTACTGGAAAATCTTCTTCACTTGCGTGACCTGTCAACACTCCCACAGACAGTCTCACGTGCTCTGCAGACCCATAAAGATGCACCTTTTTGGCACTTAAATTCGTCTAAATCTCCTAAAATGTCCAGGATTCATCTTTTGATTTTGGCTTTTGAAAACTTGTATGCCTTTTTGCATTATCTTCTCACTTAAGCCTGCTTTCGCTTGGCTTGTCGCGAGAGAAACATTAAATCATTTATTTTTAAAAGTCTAAACGACTCAGAAAAACTTTCCTATAGACTCAGAGGATGAAATGACTGCTCTAATCTGGCTGCAAAATATATGAACACCTTTAGTAATGATTAATCAACACATTTGGTTAATCTACATATTTTAATCTTGTCATTTTGATTATTTTTAGAGTATTGTCTGTTTTTATTCCCTTTTCTGTCATTTATTTCTTATTTATTTTATGTTAATATACTACTTAGGCTATTTTATATACATATCTAAAATGCTTTGGCATTCAAGTTTACTTTAAACCTGAAAGAAGCAGACTTTACCTGCCAATGGGTGCACGTGGCTCCTGAATAGCATAAACGTAGGAGAAATGGTGAATTTCTTTTTTTTATTTCAAGTCTTTTTTTACTCATCGAAAAGAAACCGTGTCATAATAAATACAATTATTGTTAAAACTTAATGGGTTTTTTTTGTCATATATTGTAGTATATTTTTGTCATGCGGGTAAATGGTGTGCTTTAATCCGGCCACCAACACAAGTATATTTCATATCTTTAGGAACTACTGAAGTGACTTTATTTTGTTTCTCATTTTGCTCTACAGGCTACGTTTCAAAGCTCCTCTCAAGCAACCCCTCGCCACGCCTACCTCTCTCACAGCCAATCAGGGCAGAGGTTTTACCACCATGGCAAATAGCCATTCGTTTCAGTTCAATGCAGAATGTTGAGGTAGAAGGAAAGATTCGCAGGCTTTTGGATTAAAGCTACACAGCCCACAACGCTTGGCATCGTGTTACAACATAAAACAGATGACTATTACTTTCACGTCCCAATCGTTTTTCTCTTTCTTAGATCTGCCTTTGTAACAGGGTTTATTTTAACATTACAGTGAGATGTGTCTGAGTGTTTCTTTTATTCATTTGACAACAGCTGTGCCAACAGTAGTCGTATTAAATACTACCACAACATAAGTTAAATCTGGCTTTATAACTGAACAATGCAGAAATGCGTTCAGATATTACAATTTCAAGTTCTTGAAAGTCTACAAGAGCTGGAAGTTGCTAAGACTTATTTCAGTTTGTGGATGTACTTCTAACTTAACTGGAATGTGGATTAGGGGATTATTTTGCACATCATTCCCTCATAGCAAACTAACGGTAAGAGAGGCCTGTGGTTAAGAATAATGTGTCTGAAGCCGTCAAACTAAAGCAAATGTTCCGATTTTGAAGATTACAAAACACTTTTTAAATTAATCGTTCACCTAAAGAATAACAACGTGCGCTAACAAAACCAACATTGTAAATATTGATTTGACAAGGACTCCCACTCAGGGCCATCTGTAACTTGCATTAACATTGATGAATGCGGAGGAAAGCTGCCACAGGACAGTAATATTTTCATATGATTTTAATTTGTAAATGTTTTAAGCCAACCAACTGAATTTCACAAAAGTGCACATGAAATATACATTTTATTAATCTGTTAAAGGAGCTTCTTAAAATAGTATTAAATGGTTGTGTAGAAAACTTGTTTTTTTGATTGTCGTTTTTATATTTGTAGTCTGTTTGAAGAGTCTCTTAATTGAATGGTTATAGTATGACCTGACATCGGATGAGGGTTATAGTATGACTTGACATTGGATAAGATTTGATATGTTCTGTCAGTAACTCGGCAACGACTCAATTTAGATCTTTTTTAGCTCAGATTAGATACAGTGCTCAGCATATGTGAGTACACCCCTCACAAATCTCTCTTTTAAATTCTTATTTTTAATAGGATGCTGTACAATATCATATTTGTGCATATACATTAAATTAATCAGTACTGAAGCCAAATGTGAATCTTACAAAATAACTGACAATAACGGTCCAAAAACTAGTACACCTAAATTCATGTTACAGAAAAAATTAAATGCACATTTTAAAAAAAATGTTGAAATTTTGTAAGTTTTGAATTTGTTTGTAATATTTTGCTTGAATTTATTTGTATTATCTTTCAATGTATAAATATGTTTGGTGACTAAAATTTTATTTATTAACTATATCTATTTATTAAATCTGTTTTGTTTAAATGCACCAAAATACATAATATTCATTTTCAAAAAAGGGGTGTACTCTATTAATGCTGAGCACTTCATTTTGTAGGCTGTCCCTTGTACTGGTGAACATCCCAAAATTTTGTTGATTTTTGTATTTTTCTATGAGTTTTAGCAATCATTTAAAAGGCACTTACACTCACTGCCCACACTGCATGTTAATGCAAATATTTTAGATTTTTTATTTGCCAAAGTTTTATTTTACACGGTTGAAGTCAATTATTAGCCCCTCTGAATTTTTTTTTTTTTTAAATATTTCCCAAATGATGTTTAACAGAGCAAGAAAATTTTCACCGCATGTCTGATAACATTTTCTTCTGAAAGTATTTCTTGATTTATTTTGGCTAGAATAAAAGCAGTTTTTAATTTTGCATAAAACAATTTTATGATCAATTTTTAGCCCCTTTAAGCTATAGATTTTTTCTGACAGTCTACAGAACAAACCGTCATTATACAATAACTTGCCTAATTACCCTAACCTGCCTAGTTAACATAATTAAGCCTTTAATTGTCACTTTAAGTGTCTTAAAATATATCTAGTAAAATATTATTTACTGTTATCATGGCAAAAATAGAATAAATTAGTTATTAGAAATGAGTTATTAAAACTGTTGTGTTAAGAAATGTGCTGAAAAAATCTTCTCTCCGTTACACAGAAATTGGGGGAGAAAATTAAACGGAGGCTAATAATTCAGAGGGGCTAATAATTCTGACTTCAACTGTGTGTGTGTGTGTGTGTGTGTGTGTGTGTGTGTATATACATACATACATGCATACATACATGCATACATACAGTACATGCTATATAACAAGCAGTGAAATGTGAGGTCAACTCCATAGATCGTGCAATATTTATAAACTATAGACAAAAATAATAATAAAATAAAGACAGTTTTGTTAAATGAAGATTGTAAAGTTTTTACAAATCATAATACAATAAAGCAGGATGTACAAGTGCTGAATCTGCTGAGTTATGCAGGTTAAATAAGAATTTGAAAATGACTCATCGAACAACAAAATGCAAAAAAGTGCTGTGTCAGGATAATGCCAAGTATTGGGTGTGTGTGGTTAGCTTAAACTTAATGAAATCCTGTATATGTTGGAGATGTTAAGAGTTTAAGAGTTTAGTGGCCTGGGGTGAGAAAATCTCATCGGACTGTATGGAAGCACTTCCCAAAATTGCAGCAATGTGAATATGTTACCAGAATTATCCTTGATGGTTTTTGAGGCTCGGTTTTGTAATTTTATAATCTGACAATTGCATGACCACAAATCAGAGCATTTAGCCATAAATATTGTCCAGAAAATTTGCTGAAGTTCAACCCGAGCATTAGAATGAGGAAGGTGATTTATATGACTTTGACCAGATTGCTTTGAGTTGATAGAAAGCCAACTGTAACTCTAATAGCCATTGTATTTAACCGAGGTCTGCAGGAGAGCATCTCTGTACACACAACATCCAACTTTAAATCAGATGAGATATTATTATTGTAAATCTTTGCGATAGTCGATATGAAATATGTATGAAAATTAGCTGTTTTATTAATCTTGAATGCATATATGCCCATTGTAAGAGTCCTCTAAAACAAAATGAGAAATGTTAAAAGACTGTATTAGTCATAGTATGATAATAAGAGTTCTTTAAATGAAAATCTCATACCGTGTACTTCCATAGATAAATCTTGTTTAAACATACATCACAGAAAAATAGGTTAATCAGAACTTAACACAGACTGTAAAATAACATTTGGGATCATTAATATGTTCATCCTAGCAGGTTTTGATTGGCCACTCTTCTTTTTTTTAGCAACAATATAAAACAATATTTTGAACTCATTTTAAAACAACTTGATATATTTGCTACATACTGTATGTGGGACTCTTATTTTGAAAACAGGACAGTCATTCAGCAGCTGATGCATGTATACATTACATCAGAGCAAGACATCGCGCAACCCCCTCCGCTCTTTATCTACGTCGCGGAAATCACTGTCCAGCTTGGGATGTCTGGTAATGCAACAGTTTATGGAGTATCTCCATAAGCTTTTTTGAGGGATAGACTTATCTCAAACAATAAAAGACTTGTTCTTGTTTTGCATTGCTCAAGAGCTGAATCCACATCACAGTTTTTGACTTTTCTTGATTTCAGTGAGTTTCATTTTGTTCTGAAATCCTGCAGTACTTTTGGTCTTAATATTTTAATTATGCAATTCAAACTTTGTACAGTAATGCCAATGCTTCAGTGAAATTACTACATGGTGCTACTCGTAGGTTTAACAATGATATGATAGAGGCAATTATCAAGAAGGCTGCCCTTTATTTTCTTTTTCCTATGCAACTTTTAGCCATCTGTATTCATAAGAATAATTTGAAAGGCATCTCTGTGGCAAATCGATCACTTTAAAGAAGTGTGACGGCAACCCCCCCTTTTTTTTACAAAAACATCAGGTCTGGGGTGGCTCGGGGGTTGGCACTGTCAGTGTCACCTTACAGCAGGGTCGCTGCTTGGAGTCTCAGCTGGGCCAGTTGGCGCTTCAGTGTGGAGTTTGCATGTGCTCAGGTTTCCCCCACAGTCCAAAGACTTGCGCTATAGATGAATTGAATAAACTAAATTTTCTATAGTAGTAATTGTGTGAATAAGTGTGTATGGGTGTTTCCCAGTACTGGGTTGCAGCTGGAAGAGCATCAGCTGTGTAAAACATATGCTGGATTAGTTGGCGGTTCAGTCCACTGTGGCGACTCCTGAACAATAAAGGGACTAAGACGAAAAGAAAATAAATGAATGAAGATGTCAGGCTGAATAATTTAAATGAATTATTGACTTCTGCTGTTTTCATTTGTTCAAAACAGACCTTAAACGAGCGTCAAGTTCAACGAAAGCGTTTGACCCAGGTTACTGACCAACTTAAAAGTCCTTCTGCATTTACCATATTACACATTTTCTTATCAAATGAATGTCTTATCGCATAAAATGATCATTTAATTGCTGATGCAATTATCACAATATTGACCTAAGCTGAAAAAGTTACTTAACTGGTTCAATGACCAAAAATACTTAGTGTATTGCTTTATTGTATATACACATTTAGGGTAAATGAATGAATGAAATTAAATTGCAAAATGATTTTAAAGTACAATAGGGAACACTTTATCAATAATCAAGTCTCATTAGTAAATGTTAGTTATTGGATTAAAGAAAACAGTGAGACAAATCCAGATTTACTATGTTAATATTGGAGTTTGTAGTGTCTGGATGGTTTAATCACATTAATTGCAAAAGTCACAAAACTTTACTTACATATTCGGACAGAAAACAGCTATAAGCAATGAGACACCCAATACTAGGAAACCTCCATTTACACAAATACACTATGGCCAATTTAGTTTACTCAACTCACATATACAGCATATCTTTGGACTGTGGGGGAAACCAGAGCACCCGGAGGAAGCCCACACCAACATGGGCAGAACATGCAAACTCCACACAGAAACGCCAACTGATCCCACCACTTGAAACAACAACCTTCTTGCTGTGAGGCAACAGTAAGAGCTCCATGTCAACCTTTTTTTTTTTAAATATACTTAGGTATATCAAACTTTTGAGATCTACTCAAGTATATCAAACATTGATTATTGCTTTGCTATGTCTTTACTCAGAATATAAAGGGATTTCTTCTGTGTATTGACTTTTTTTAAAGATATACTCAGTATGTTAAACAATTCAGTAGCTTAAAACATTAAAGGCACACCTGTATTCAAAGGCTTGAATACTATATAAATGGCTGAAACATACAAATCAGCAGCTTTTACTTTTATTGTCCACAAGTGGAAATTTATCTTTGGCTTTACCACACAACCACATCCGCGTTCACATTACACACATCACAGAAAAAAAACAGGCAACACAAATACGTTCAATGTCATCACATATATCACATTTAAAAACTCATTTTAAAACCCTATACATACTAGGAATCCAGTATTTAAAACTCTAATGGCACTCAACAGAAAAGACACATTTTTCTTTTACTTGAGGTTACCGAAAATGTCATTTAGATGACAAGAGCTGAAATTTTCAATTTAAGGGATGGGAACAACCTTTAATTATGACATGTACTTTCTGTTTAATTCTCATTGAATGCATTTCATTTAGTTGTCTTTGTGCTTTATCTACAATTTCACTGGCAATTTTTACTACTCGACACAGTTTTTGCTTTTCCTTAATTGGCAACAGTCCATACCATGCTGTCATGTTAAAACTCACATCACTTTCAACCTAGTTCTTGTATACCATCTCCAGAACATCTTGACTTACACCAAATTGTTGAAACCTCCTGATGAGATATAATCTCTGCATTGCTTTTTTAAAAATGCACTCTGCATTTGCAGCAAATGTTAATCCACTATTAATAAATGTCCCTAAATATTTAAAACAGCCAACTGTCTCTATTTCATGTCCTTCATAGACCAGAGGTTTCAACCCTTGACTAAGGACTAGTTTATTTCTGCTAATTATCATCTCCTTAGTTTTATTAAATCAAGACTTCTGTACATTCTTTCTAAGTCTTAAGTCCTTTATTTTCAACAGAGAATAAAGTAAAGGATCTTTGTTTTGTTCTTGTATTTGTTTTTATTCATCCTTTTCACTGGATTTATTTTATTAATAAAAATGTATTTTTATTAATATTCTTCCTGAAGCAGACATTGACTTCATGTGCAGAACCCATCAAGAAACCTTGTGGTAAGGTAAGAATCTAATTATTCCTTGAAAGATCATGCAAAATATGGTCCTAAACCAAACTCTAGCTAAGAAATATAGTGAAGAGAGGATCCTGGTTTCGTTCATTATTAAATGATCCAGCACAAGCTTAAATGTACAGTAACTCTATAAAGAATCACAGAATATTCTATCAATACCTTAGCATGTAATAGGCCTGATTAGCATGTGAAAAATGGCAGTGTTTGGTCTATTCAAGCCTATTAAGTACTTCAAATGAAATTGAAGCATGAACTAAACTGATGTAATTTTTAACTAAAATCATCCATAGCAAAGTTCATTTTCAGTCCGTTTTGGTAGTTTGAAACAGCTCATCAAAATAAACTTTCTGGGGGAGTTTGTTTTGCCTCCTAAACACTTATGAGCTACCTTCGGTCCATGGCAATTATAATCATAATGGATGTGTGTGTTCTGGACATCAGCCTTCTTCAATATGCGATTTCTTCCACCTGATTATGTTCTTATTCCATGTGGTCAAACAGGAGAACAACATCCAAAACAACACCACTACCCACACTGGGTGGTGGAGAAGAAGAGCTGTACAGATGTATCCACACATGTACGATCACTTGCAGAGATTTTAAAGATTCCGATGGGTTCATACACTGGATGAGAAGCACTTATCATGGCAAATCGTTTCTATGAGTTTCTGCACACCAGCGGTGCCATTTGATTTCTGTGCACTGCAAGTAGAAAACAATGTAAAGATGTGGTGTGCTGCGGAGAAAGCTGTAAGTTCAAGTTCATTTAATTATAGAGCACATTTAAAAACAGTCACAACACTGACCATAGTAATGTACAAAAGTCAAAGTAAAATAAAAAGAATATAAAAAAATAAAAAGCCAAGAGAAATGACTGAATACATTTAAAAATGAAGCTGTAGAAAGGACCATAAAATAATATTAAAAAGCCAAGCTAAATAGATACATTTTTAAGAGCGATTTAAATATCCGTATGGATAGAGCCATTCTAATCTCAACGGGCAAACTATTCCATAACCGAGGACCCACCACAGAGAAAGCTCTGCTCACTATACGTTTCGGCCTGGACTGAGGAACCAAAAGAAGATGGAACCATTGGAGGTCTCTTAAAATAGGGGTAATGTGGTCATTATGTTGTTTCCTATTACAAATAAATCTAGCAAAAGCATTTTGGACCAACTGATGGCGAGAAACTTATGATTTTGAAATGCCACAGTAGAGTGAATTGCAGTAGTCTAACCATGACGTAATAAGTGTGGACAAAAAAACACAAGTGTGGCTCTCTCAGCCATCATTGTGGTGTTTAGGGTTACATGTGAGCAGCGTGACACAGCTACAACCACACATACTGCAACATGGGAGTGTCTAAAAAAAGCAGTGTACAGTCAATAATCCATTTCGATCATCTTTTTGCCCTTAAACAAAGAACAAAAAAGAACTTTAAGTATACCAGGGCCTTTAACCAATTACGTTTCCAGGCATTTAATGCTATTATGAACACCACTGCAAATATAATGTTGATATTCTGAAAATACTCTAAACATTTTGAATTCACTCATTTAATAGTTTTCATCTTTGTTATAAACATATATTTAATTAAAAATCTGCATACGTCTATTTTAGAGTACGTCATGGTTTGAGAGGCAGCCACTGAATAGAGCCAGGAGCATGAGAGCAGAGCTCATTAATATTCAAATAAGGTACAAACAGGTATCTTATTTCCAAAACCAATTCCTATTGAGTTGTAAATGAACATGGATAACTGCTTATGAAGATCTTTTGCTCTTACCCAAGCCTGAGATATTCAATGTGGATTTCCAAGAACAACATATTGCAACACATAGTAACATATTTTACATATCGTGCATTCTACGGCAACTTGAACCAAAAATAAAAATTTAAAATTTGCATCATTATTCACTCATTCTCATGTTGTCCCACAAAAGAAGCCAGGTTTAGAATGATATGAGAGATTACATAAAGACTGAATTATACTATAATACAAGGGAGTTGAAAAAGAGCTTAGTAGAAAAAAAAAGCGGGAAAGTTTTTGTGTGTGTGTGTGTGTGTGTGTGCGTGTGTGTGTGTGTGTGTGTGTGTGTGTGTGAGTGAGCAGGGTAAATTTAGCCGATGATTCACCTAAAGGCAGTTTTCTTTGTTCTGTGGTCTCCTAACTGTTTTCCTTCTTAAACCTCTGTATTTTTAAACAGTTAAATAATATCTGCCAGCACTTACAGCTGTAGAAGACATTAACCAAGTGCCTTCTTCTTTAAAAATAATATTAATAATCAAAAGCTAAAAAAACACATCAAGGTCTCATTTACTCCTCATTCACTCATCCCCCCAATGCTCATTTCAAAACTAAATCAAAAATGAAACGGCTGACTCATCAGCCATGACACTCAGCAAAAGATTAAGTGAAATCACCACAGCATTGTGTTTGTATGTTTTTAATAAGTGAAGTGTGATGCTGTGTCAGTTATTTAAATTTGGACAGTGACGTAGGAGGCAACATGTGACAACAAGCGGGAAGACAAAAAAAAAAAAAAAAAACCCAGAAGTGCAAGCTTGGTGCAAAATAAGAAAATCAAGTATAAACAAGACATTACAATAAAAACACATTTGGTCTCCGTCATATTCGAATGGAAATTTGAAATGGCAGTGACATGGATTGGAGATTTTGTATGCAGGTCAGCCACTGGTGAGACAGCAGGGCGGAAGTTTGATGATGCAGTTTAAGCCAGTATGACAAGGGTTGAGAGCAGCAGAGAGAGACAGAGACAGAGACAGATAAAACCTCTAATGGACTCATGAAGATGAAGCTTCTTTATAGAAAGTGAAATAATCCAAATTCTTGGGACGTTTCTTATTATAACCTTTTTTAAATTTATTTTTGTGCCTGTTTTGAAACTGAATGAGTCAACATGAAAGTGCAGTGGCAGCGAATGAATGGGTTTGGCTCTTCGGCTCTTGGAAGAAAAATACAATGCTAGTGCTATTTTTGAGTTCTTGCTTTCTGTAAATCAAGTAAGTGACAATATCAGTGACGATTTTAACATAATACTCAATATTGCTTTGTGACAGTCTTGGATTAAGTTGTAAAAATGTTACAGGTTGTTAGTCAATTGTTTAAAAAAATGGTAAAAATATAATCCTTTATTATTTTCGAATAGTTTCGAAGGAATGCTGTCCATCTGTATGTTCAAAAAGGCGTCTAAAAACTATTGGTTGTCCTTCTACCCCCCTTTATGACGTTTTTGGCTCCTATTTGCCAACTTTACTGCAAAAACTAATGTAGCCGCCTTTCTTTCCCAAACCGAGCAAAATTGAGAATATGCACGTTTCGTAAATCGTACGTTAATTTGAAGATGGAACCTTCATATCCTTCGACGTCGAATTCGGGATTTAAGAGTTTTAGTTCTAGTAATGGGACTGAAGATACAACCTTTTACAACAGGTGGGTGACAAGGTAGCTGATCTGCAGAAGCTTTGCAGAAATGTTTTTGTTTGAAAAAATCCAGTGTAATATATTTAAATTTCGCATTTATTTAAATTGAACATGTATTTCTAGGGATGTTTTGTTGTGTTTTTAAAATAGTTTAAATAGTTCTCAGTTTGGGCAAGAGATGCCTGTTTGCTAAATGCTAAGTAACATGTGGCCATGATTAGAGCTGTGATAACGCTAAAAACACCAAGTAAATCCTCAGATTTACCCCCGAATTATTATTTTTTAGCAGTTTTTTAAATCAGCTTTTTAAAAATTGGTCATTATATGTGCATGTGTAAAACGTGTGTTGTTCATGGATGCGTGTGGTCGTATAACAGGTACTTCCTCCTATTTCATTTTGATTTAAGCATGTTATGAATCGGTTATTTTCTTATTTATTAAAGTCATTCAGACTTTAATTTGTAATTTTGTGCTATTTAGTTGACTACATATAAGAAATGCACTTTAGAGGACAAATTCATTCATGTTAATGTGGTGTAAATGTTTATAATTTGTTGTAACCATACTTGAAATACAATTTGCATTTATATGTCTAATACTGATGTTAGGATGAATTGAATGCATCACTGTAAAAATAATAGAGGCTATAATAAATTTTTGATATTCTAAATACACTGTAAAAAAACATATAGTCAATGCTGTTATGAAAACATGATAACATCACCACAAATTCACACAAAAGTTTCCTGTAAATGTATGTTTCTGGTTGCATTTTATCTGTAAAACAGATTTAAAATGGGATGAAAAGGTCTGTTGTGACATCAAAACCTTTGTGGTTTTACGTTTGCTTGAATAAAAGGCAAAATAGAGCTAGCATAACAAGACGTGTTTTGTGAAATTTGTATATTTGTTCTTTTAACAACGATTTGGAGAGATCTAAATCTGCCCATTTCTAGCTGTAGCTTGTAGAACTTTTCCAGAATGTTCAGTCAAACTCACGCATACACGATGATGTTCAGATAGACTCAAGTTGATTAAAGCTTTTTTACGTCATAATTAATTGATTCTAAGTTTTATTTAAGATTAATAGCCACTAGGATTACATCTAGGAAATGTTTTTTAAATTGCAATAAAGTTTTGGTTTATGAATTGTCATCATATAAATGTAACACTGATCATCTATTGTCTTTAGAGAATCTTTTTTTTTTTTTTAATGCACAAAAATTTGAGAGGTATTAAAACAAAGTGGTTTTGGCATCACAATAATTCTTTGAAGGTAAAAAAAATATTATATTTCATGTCTTCAAAACATAATAGGTCTAGGCATATTTCTCAGTCAATTAATAATGCCCTCGAAAAATATGACTTATTCCACCATGCATGCGAATGTTTACAATACAATAAAAATATATGTTTGGGGTTTTGCTTCTGATTCGCTCTCTTTTTACTCTCTTCTCATATTGTTGTCAATCACACAAATATTTCAAAATAACGCAAACTGGGTGACTTATCAGATTAAATTAATTGCTTCTGTCCTGAAAAGGTGCTTTTTCAAGATCATACAGTCTTACTTAAAGTAATTGTTTCATGTCTGATTTATCCTTTTTATGCCAGGAAATGTTTTTTCAGAAGGCTGTATTTCTTGTGTATGTTATACAACATAAATGACTGCTGACACCTATTCTTTATACATACTTGACCGAAATCAAACCAAAGCCTACCTGTTTCATATTATAAGCATTTTCCTTATAGGCCTATTGTAAGATAAACTGCTTATTATCCTAAACGTGGGTGACAATAACAGTTACATTTCTGAAATGGGGTGAGGCAGTGGCGCAGAAGCTAGTGCTGTCGCCTCACAGCAAGAAGGTTGCTGGGTCGCTGGTTTGAACCTCGGCTCAGTTGGCGTTTCTGTGTGGAGTTTGCATGTTCTCCCTGCCTTCGCGTGGGACCGTGGGTTTCTTCCGGGTGCTCCGGTTTCCCCCACAGTCCAAAGACATGCAGTACAGGTGACTTGGGTAAGCTAAAATTGTCCCTAGTGTGTGTGAATGTGTGTGTGGGTGTTTCCCAGAGATGGGTTGTGGCTGGAAGGGCATCCGCTGCGTAAAAACTTGCTGGATAAGTTGGCGTTTATTCCGCTGTGGCGACCCCGGATTAATAAAGGGACTAAGCCGACAAGAAAATGAAATGAAATTTCTGAAATGCGATACTTACTTCATAAACTTTCAGTCTGAGTGATGAAGTGCTCATGACAGTCTTCCTCTCCCATGATGTGGGGACACAACTCAGTCAGAGGTTTCACTAATGATTTTACGGACGGACCAATCACAGACATTGTGTGGCTGTAATCTATGTAAAGCACAGTAATTTTAATAAGCCTTTGGAGCTCATTATTTTATAATATCCAGTAAACCACTAATAACCGACTTTCAGTTTGTTCTGTAGATTGCAATTTGACGCCTTCCATGTGATTTCTTAAACCACAGCAAGGACACATCTGCCTCGCATCCCTCTGTTTATCTACCATTACAGATCCTTTCTTTGTTTCAATATTACTATTCCTGCGAAACGCAAGGTCAACAAGTGCTATTGTTCAATATAATATATAAAAACGCTGCAGATTTAAATCGTCTACGCGACCTGGATGCAGAAAGTTCACTGGACAAACAACTTCCTCGTTTAATAGATCCCGCCCTTTTGCAACACTCGAATTAATTGGCATAAAACAGACAACGTTAGTTAAAAATATAAAGTGGAATAAAGCATCGATTCGTGCATTAAAATCGATATTTTTCTGCAGCGTTTTCTTTTTTCTTTCAATTAATTCATTCTCTGTCCGTCAGGTGACGCTGACGTCACATGCTCCTCCTGTAACTAGGGGAATCCCCAAAACTCCACGCGGATTTGCTTTGTGGATGTCCAATAACCTCCTTGTTTTGGTCATTCTTTAAGTCGATCGACTACAAATCCGGGCAATTCGAAAGTCGATAATCGTAGTTTAGTGGAGAGGAGGTCGGCAAAATCAATTCTTGCAAAGGTAACAAAGCGAAACTTTTATTGACTAGCGTTAGTAGTTTGATCGATCATATTTATTAACGTTAACTAGTGTTTGTAGATTCAGCTGTTTGTATATTAAGTAAAAGTCGGGATTTGGTGTGCAACATCATTGGACCGCTTGTGTGTTGTATTATTGTAACAAACTGACGTCGATTCGATAAAAACCGGTAATGAATTAAGAGTGAAACTCGTATTTCGAACTTTAGGCCCGACATCGCTTTAAACGTTACTAAAACGTTGATATTAACGTTAGCCGCTAAGCCTGTTAGCTAGCTAACATTAGCTTTCGAAAATGCAAACTTCGAGTTTCAGTATAATAGCTTTAGGTGACTTTTAGAAATCTTATGTACAGGTATGCGCATTTTCATTCATTTTTAGCTATATCTACTTGCGCGACAGAACTTTGAAGCTAATAAGCTAACGTTAAGCGGCATCTTTGCGACTCTGAGCGATCGCCTGTTTTTCAAATTTAAAGTGAATGTACATATTATATAAATATCACACTTTGCATAAGAGACAACATCCCGACTTTTATTTTAACGTTATAGTAATTTTAGTTGTCGTGATATATTATTTTCCCCCAGGTTTTTATGACTTTCGTGTTTATAATTTCACAGCAATGGCGCAAAACGACAGCCAAGAGTTCGCGGAGCTCTGGGAGAAGAATTTGATGTAAGTTCGCAAGGGTCGCACTCCTGATACACAACGCTCCTCTTTTTCCTGCCTCTCTAAATTTCCCCGTATTTTTGTTAGCAGCCATGTCAGGTTGCTATAATGTACCTGTCTTAATATTTTTGGTGTTTGCTTGTTTAAGATGCATCTGTCGAACGTATTGTTTATCTGGAGTTCTTTGTTTGAGCTTCAACAGATTAATACTAATTTCTCTCTCTTCCTTTACAATTGTCTCAGAAGTATTCAGCCCCCAGGTGTTGGCTCTTGCTGGGACATCATTAATGATGAGGTATTTAAAAAAAAATCTCAAACACCCAGAAATCTCTATTTTCCTCTTTTGGTTTTAAGTGTTGAACTTTTATTTGTTCTGTGTTTGCCAGGAGTACTTGCCGGGATCGTTTGACCCCAATTTTTTTGAAAATGTGCTTGAAGAACAGCCTCAGCCATCCACTCTCCCACCAACATCCACTGTTCCGGAGACAAGCGACTATCCCGGCGATCATGGATTTAGGCTCAGGTTCCCGCAGTCTGGCACGGCAAAATCTGTAACTTGCACTGTGAGTCAAAAGCGCATACACACACATACTTTCACAAATTTAATGGAAAGAGACATTTCAGTATAGTTGATCAATCTAGTAATCTTAAATTAAACATTCATAATCCATAATGAAAATATCACAAAACTGTATGTAGAAATCTGTTTGCATATGTGCCATGGTTTGCTCATAATCTGTGTAAATTATTCAGAAATAAAATTAGGGTTAGTGACAAATATGACTGATAATATACCGTATAAGTGTATGTGCAAAGTGGTTATATGATGGTAGTAAGATGGCTAACTTCAGTATGTAGCATATAGTAGTCTAAATGTGGACATGTAGCTGAAGTCATGCAGAGATGCAGGTTGTTCTTACTGGTGAGCGTTGAATCTGAATGCTGAGGATACCACACGGCTTCATTCATTCATTCTTCCCCTCCTCCTCTCCTGTGCTGAATGATATCTCAGGCCTCCTATCTTTTGTATATTCACCACTTGACTTCAGAGATGGTTGTTGTAGTCATTTAGCTCGTTGGTCTGACATCAGGTGTGGGCAAATAAGATTATTTCTTACAGCATTGTCTGAAGACATGAATGGGCATGTTCTCATGTGCAGCGCCAAAAAGTTATCCGGTAGTGGTGGGGTTAAAAAAAAAAAGTGACGTCGCACAGCATACCACCCACAACCAAACCTTTTTTTTTTTCTTTCTTCAGTTAAACTATTGGTTCAGAACTTTTTAAATGCTCACTTTTTAGCCTAAATTTTTACTCTGTAATCTAATAGCTCCTGTCACCCTACAAGAGTGAATTTGTGCGGAATAAACTTCAGATGTTTAAATTGAATTTTGTAAACAGAGGCTATTTTATTTGTTTTAATAGTGAAATTAAAGAGAGATCATTTATTTGTGGTTAGGATCAATGATTTGATAATTAGTCAAAAATTGTTGTTAATTTATTTTGGATGTTTAATAGATAATTATCAGGAGATGTTATGGCAAGTGAGTTTTTTTTACAAAGATATGTGGAAAAATTAGGTTCTTACCAAGACAAGCTGATCTGATGTTCATTCTGTCAACCGACATGGGTGAATTGGTGAATGGATAAAGTAAACGTCATATGTTTGTTTAAAGAGGTTGAGAAAAGATGTACTATTGACTTTTTAATGTAGCAAGAAACTTTGTTTATTTTGTCAAAGCGACTTGCAGTAAAGGGACAAGCTGTTTATTATGGTGAAATTCATACAGTCAATTCCAGGATTATTATTTTAAATTGTACAGTTTAATAACTGCTCTCTTGACTACCTTTTATGAAAAGACGTGTTGCTCTAAGATGGCTGCATGACAAAAAAATAAAATGGCAGCATTTGTTATTGGTCAAGAAAGCTCTTTCCCTTTCATATTCGGTTATATTAGAAGTTAGTCATATACCTCATTCAGGCAGTCTAGCTTATGTGTGTTTTATTTAATCTGACATGTTATATTTTATCAAGTCCAATAATCTGTCTTTCTTATTGATTTTAGTTTTTGTGCTTTGTTTTTGATTAGAGTTTTTGATTTCCTTTAATTTGAGGTGGAGTTTTATTGTTTAAGGCAGAATCAGTGGATGTTGAACATGTCTGAACTTGTCCTGATTGAGCAGTGGGGGCAGGGGAGTGTCCGCTTTTGCCACAGCACAAACTGCAGACTAAAACACTCAGAACAGAGATGTGTTTCGCATTTTTTAAATATCCTGGCGAACATTTGGAGGGAGATGTTGGTCTTTTTATGCATTTTTTAGGATGTAGTGTAATACATTTTAGGATTGTTAATAGTGCTGGACAGTCAAGCTGGTGCTTCACATTCTGTATGACATTACAAGACCAGGAGGGTAAGATGAAAAGACATTTAAAAGGCTTGAATGTAAGTGTGATTAAAATGTGTTAATTATTTTGTAGTTCATTAAATTAATTGGTAATTTTGTAAACTTTTGTAATGATATTGTCAAGTGATTTATGCCTGCTAATCTTTTGTTATTTTATTTAATATTATATTTGTGTTATTAGTTTATTGTTCTGTGCTAGTGAAGACGCATTAGGGTGTTTTTTAACATACTTGCATTTTAATTGAGTTAATAAGATTTGCAAATGCATATTAAAATCAGCCTTCTGGACACGACATTCTTTGAGACTGATAGTGCTTCAGTGTTGATGTTTTGATGATACATTATTGATGAGACAAATTTTTATTCACTTTAAAGGGAAAGTTGACAAAAACCTAAAAATGGTTTTACCCAACCGTCACTTACAGTTTAAACTTATTTGAATATCTTCTGTAGACCACAAAAATTAAAATAAATAAATGAATAAATACTGGCCATTGTCATTTTTCGTATTCTTTTACTATGGATATCAGTGGCCACCAATTTTAAACTTTCTTCAAAATATCTATTATGTTAACAAAAAACAACAACGTTGGAGCCACTTGAGGTTGAGTAAATTTTAATTTTGGGGTGAACTATCTCTTTAAAGCACCAGTACTAAGGAATACCCCAGTCAATAATATCTCATATTTAATCTGCTTTCTCATTAATTTTAGTCATGATTCTTACATTAACTTGTTTAGTTTCTACCGATACTAATAAAAACTGCTTGGATGGATTATTGAACTTTTTTTTTTAAGTGCTAAACTATAACAACTGGGTGAAACTTATTTTTTTGTAATTGCAGTATTCACCGGACCTGAATAAACTCTTCTGTCAGCTGGCAAAAACTTGCCCCGTTCAAATGGTGGTGGACGTTGCCCCTCCACAGGGCTCCGTGGTTCGAGCCACTGCCATCTATAAGAAGTCCGAGCATGTGGCTGAAGTGGTCCGCAGATGCCCCCATCATGAGCGAACCCCGGATGGAGATAGTACAGACATTTTTTTTTCCATATCCATTCTTGCATCATTCTAGGCCTGCACGATTAATTGATTTTAAACCAAAATGACGATTTGAAAAGGTGTGGTTTTTTTTTGTTGTTTTTTGCCAGAAACTGTGATTATTTTGTTTATTACTATGGCGAGGGAGGCAAGTGTGTGTAATTAAAACGATCCAACTAATGTTAGTTAAAAAGCAAACAACCGTTACAGCAGACCCCCAAACCAATATGTGGAGATGAAATGAAAGCTGCTAACTTCATTTCTGCTCTGCTTCTCTCGTTCACTCCCTTGTTTTGGCTGTTACAGTGATTCTTGTGGATCCACACACGCACACGAGCACAATTTTATATATAGTTTTAGTTAAATTTAAAATACTTTAGTTATTTTCTTAATTTGTCATGACGGCTGACAACTTTATTGTATTGTATTATATAAAAAGTGGTTTCAAATAAACAGTAGCATAGTGTACTTTGTGATTATGATTGGTCTTTTTTGGTGCTGTTAAAGCCACCACATCAAACCTGCAGCTCTTAAAAAATTAGTAAATTGCATTTTTAAATTGCAATTTTGATCAGATAAATCGCAATTAGATTTTTTTTTTCAAATCGTGCAG